TCTTTAATCCGTGGTCAATTCCAGTATTTTCTTTAACCTCTTAATACTTTTCATGTACTTCACTGAACACTATGTTTGACTGCTATATTTCCATGGAATTTGCCATGCCTTTTTTTTTTTTTTGGTCTGAGACCTTTTTACTAGGAATTCTGTGTCCATTCAAAGAAAATGGACATTTTGGACAGGGAGTAGAAACTCAAGGAGAGAATCAGAGGTCTAAGAGTTTAACTACTAGAACATAAAAGATGTCTCTTACAATGCCCTATTACAAGTTTGGGCCTTGATTCTTCTACTATTCATGATAAACAGTGTTTTGCAAATGGAGAGGAAATGTTAGTTTCAAGAGAGTGGGAATCCCGGGAAAGACTGAACTTAAAATCAGCAGCTTCCAGAATAACAGTCAGTGAGATGTTAGTGCAGTTCTTTCCAGGAATCCCCTGGCTGGAATGATGAAAACGTAAACTGACCTATTTTGATCTATCAACCTTCTTTCCTAATAGCTCCTGTGACTTCGTTGTTGCTTCCTGGATACAAAGACCCTGGTTTTACCTACTTTTAAAAAATTATTTTATTTATTTATTTTTATTTTTTGTGTATGTGTGTATTGCCTACATGTAGGTAAGTGCACCTGTGTCGTACAATGCCCGCAGAGGACAGAAGAGGCTGTCGGATCCCCGGGACTGGAGTTATGGACAGTTGTTAGCTGTCATGTGGTTGCTGGGAAACTCTCCAGTCCCCTTCATCTACTTTTTAAAAAAGCACAGTAAGAATAGAGTGTAGGATCTTTCATTACAAGAATTTTAAGTGTAATGGATAGTATTTTGATTAATATAGTATTGTGTAAATGTACACAATTGTATAACAGATGTCTTGGACTTACTAATTTTGCATAATTAAAGCTTTATATCCAATTAATAGAACTCCCCATTTCTACCTCCACCAGTTTCTGACAGTTAGCATTTGCTCTCTGCTTCTATGAGTTTAACTATTTTTATTTAAATTTTTATTGAATTTTTGTGCATTTCATACAAAATATCTTAATCATCTTTGTATCTCATTCCCCATAGGAACCCCCTTCATAGCCACCTCACCAGATTTCACACATTCTGTCATGTATGTTAAGGCATAACAAATCAAGTTTATGTACCCAGATGTCCCTTGGTGGAAGTTCATCCACTGGGGTAGTCAGCTTATTTATAGAGTCTCTCTCTTAAAGATCAATTCTCCCTCACCCAGGAGAAATTAGCTGCCAATAGTTCCTTGGCTAAGATTGGGATCTGCTGCTCATTCCCCAGTTCTATGCTGGCTTTTTGTCTGCTTGAGTTTGCATGGGTCTTGGGCATGCTTACACCATTGCTGTAGGTTCATATGAGCAAGGTTAGGAGTCTTTAAGACTCTGTTTCCATATGGTCATGCGCCTCCTCTCCTGGCTCTCAAAATCTTTTCATCTCTTCTTCCGCAATGGTTCCTGAGCACTGGGTAGGTGAAGTCTACTATAGGAGTCTTGTCCAGGGACCCGCACTCTGCAGACACTTATTCTCAGTGCTTTGGGCATTTGTGGCCTTTTTTGTTCACTGTCCTCTGCTGCATGATGAAGCTTCGTTGGTAATAGTTTGGCCTAGTAACCACAACAATAACTGTCACAGCAAACTATATTGATACACTAGTGGCATTTTTATCTTGGGAGTAATCAACAGCCACCTAATAGGACTTAGAGCCTGCTCAATGGTAGGGAACTCATGAGTAGTATTGTAAACATAGCCAAATATACATGGCTTGAGAGGTCATAGAACTTAGAGAAAGTCCCAAGGCTGCCTCATCCCTAGACAAATATAACTTCTCACTATATGCTGAATATGGATCCTTATATTTGCAGAAAAGTGTGCCACTCACCACTCATCAAAGAAGCTTCTTTTGCAACAGACAGAGAGTATTAGAGACTTCCATAACTGGTCACAACTAGAGAGTAAGTGTCTACGAGATGCACAACCCTAAGTGACACAGCTAAAATGGAACCTCTACACGTAAACCTCACAGAACATAGTGGAACCAGGGATAGAGAGAATATTACTGCATCTATCAACTCTCATCAACAAGTTTGACCATTTTGCACACTTTATGTAGGTTTGTCCTTCTGTGGCTGGATTCTTTCACTTAGCATTACTCCTCAGGGTTTAATCCACATTGCTCCAAAATGGCTGGGTTTCCTTCTTTAAAGACAAAGTATCTAATTTAATTTGTATACCATGTTTCCTTATATTTTCATTTGTCAATGGGCTTATAGTTGATTCCTTTGTCTTTCTAAAAATATGTTATTATTTTTATTTTATGTGGATGAGTGTATTTTCTACATGTACGTAAGTGCACTCATGTAATACAATGACCACAGAGGTTGGTAGACAGCATCAGATTCCCTTGGAAATGGAAGGTATGGATGGATGTTAGCTGTTATGTGGCTGCTGGGGGAGCCAGTGCTCTTAATCACTGAGCCATCTCTCCAGTCCCATTATTTCATATCTTGGCTATTGTGAACAGTGCTGCAGTGACCATTGGAATGTAAAAACTCTTAATAGTTTCTGCTCTTTCAGATATGTGGCCAGAAGTGGGACTGCTGGGACATAAGTGGTTCTACATTTCAAATTTTAGAAACTTTCAGACTGTTTTCCAGCATGACTACAACATTTTATATAATCACCAACCATGTATAAAAGGTCAAATTTCTCCACATTCTTGGCCAAATTTATCTTTCATTTTTATGACAATAGTCTCATAACTTTCATACTGCTATGAAGGGATATGTCACTGTTTTATTCACATGCATTTCCCTAATGATTTGTAATTTTGATCAGTTTTTCATATGCTTGTCGCTCATTTGCAGTCTTCTATGGAGAATCTATTCAAATCCTTGGTTTATAATTTTCAGTAGTAGGGATCCAAAGGTGTCAAACTTTCTGACTTTGCATCATGATGTCATCTATAAATGTACTAGATCACATTCATAGATCTCCTTGGATCCAGTGTTTTCCCACTGAATTACAGCTCAAGTCCTGCACTTTTTAAGTTAGGGTTTTACTGTTTTCTTGGATACTAAGATAAAATGATTCACTATATGTTTTTGGATATTATCATGTTAACAAATATTTCTCTTTATTTCCTTCTATTATATAGGTTTCCCAAAGTATCATTTACTGTGCAGAAGCCTTTTATTTTGATGCACCACTAGTCTTTCACTGTTCATGGCTTTGTTTTCAAACTCAAGAAGTCATCGCCAAAACCAACTTCAGGAAGTTTTCCCCCATGTTTTCTTTTAAAATGTTATATAGTTTTACTATAGTCAAATAAAAGTTGATAGGAATAGCAAAGACACAAGCTTATTAAATGTTCTGTATAACATACTCTGAAGAGCCTCTGCCTGGAATTGAAGAGAGGAAATAAAAATATTTTATGTTCCTTCAAGATCTTTCTTATCAAATATATATATGTGTGTGTATAAATATGATTAATTCATATTAATTCTATAAGATTATTCAAATTATGATATATATTTTTAAATGAAAAAACTGGAGTAGAATTCAAGGTTTCACCTTGCAGTTATATATTTAAGTATTTCAATTATTCAAATAAAGTGTGAAGCCCATCTTGATACTCTGCTTCTCCTTGCTTGGTCAGCCTTCTCTAGTTTATCAATACTTCTCTGCTTCCTGGGTGATCTCACTGTAAGTACAAACTCTGTAATAACTTAAAATCAAGTATATACTCTGGCCCAATTGGTGGAACTGGACATCATGCAATAAAATTGTCTCTTCAGCATTTGGTGCTGGGAAAATTGAATAGCAACACAAAAACATAATGAAATTGGAAACACCTTAAACCAGATTAACATATCAACTCAGATTATATGAAATAATTAAATGCACAGTAATAAAATTTCCAGAGGAAAACATGGGGGAAAATTTCATGACATTGGCCTTGACAATGATTTCTGGAATGCGGGAACTGAATGGAATGAATTTTGGCCTGGGTAACCTCACCGCTCTGTAGTAGAGACGAATCCATTGCTTACTTCATTTCACTTTCTTGCTTTATTTTAGTTATGTAACCAAAAAGATCTATGCCTTTGAGAAGAAGTTCTACTTCCTTTCCCCCATTAAAAATCATGTTTAAAATAGTATGATTTTACCTCATATCATATTTTTTATGTGCTATGAAGGATTTTTTCACATTGGCAAATCAAACATCCTAATTATTGTTTCATTAAACACAGAATAAACATGTTCATACATCAGACCTTTTGTTCCTTCTCTTTGAATGATTAAGGGCACAGCTAAATCATATTTTTAAGATCATAATCTATGAGTTCATAAATAAATTCCAATTTTTCAGAAAGACCCTGGAGTGAAATTTGAAATGTTATTGACTAAGAGGTTATAAATACTTGCAGTTGGGTCTTGATAAAGTAGTTAAGTTATATTTCCTAGAAATAGATCAGTACAGGAAAATTATGTCTCTTCTGAAGTCTTGCAATTGTCACCTACAGAGTCAGAAGAATAAACAACCCAGAATTCTCCTTTGGTTTATAAATTCCCAGGCGTTTAAATTCTAAGATTATCAAAGAAACGAACACAATCTTACACAGCCATTGGTCTTTCATTTGTGACTGTTTTTCCTTCGTACTTTTGCATCTGAAAATTTGTTTTCACTTGACTTTTTAAAATTCCTACTGAGGTGCTGACGTCCTAGAAAACTGCTGAATCACCTTGTCTGTGCCTGTCGGCTGCTGCTTCAGCTGAACATGTCTCCTGGAGATATGCTGATTGTCTGTGGTTGGCGGGATTCTAATTTTTTTTTTTTTTTTTTTTTTTTTTTTTGGTCCGTCACATTCACATTTCTGACTCTTCTTTTTGAATCGGACTAGACCGTCCAAGAAAACATTTTCTTGGTCTTTCACGTTTTTCTATCAGGTGCATCTCATCTAACCAAGTTATAGACCTTTGGGAAGGATGCAGACCCCTCCAAAGGAAACTGTGAGTAGGAATGCAGCTCTCACCCCGATCCGATTAGGAAAACTATCTCCTTTGAACTTTTCTGTGCCATGCCATCTCCATCAAGTTCATCAGGAATGATTCTTATTTGATTTTAAGCAATAGAGAATTTTAATTTTAATTCTTTTGTGAATATTTCACTTTTTAATATAACCTAGAACTTCTATCTATATAGAAAACTCAACAATTACTTGCTAAAGTCTATTCACCTAGAATACTACTAGGTAAGTTGAAGCCAAATAATAACTTAAAATTTTGTGTGTCAGTACAATGAATTAATTTCATAGCTATCATAATAATTACTAATAATTACTATCTACTGAAAAGTAATTATACTTTGGAAAAGTCAAGAGAGATTAAAATGTCAACTCTATAAGGAACGTTTTGGATAAGATAAACTAAAGAAGCAGTGCTCAGATCCATGGGAGACGCGTGGTCCAGTGGAAATTTTCCTGGATAGCGAGCGTCACACACAGGCTGGATCCCTCTAAAGGAAACCATCATTTTTTTTTGTCTGATAGTACAATGTTTTATGTTCTAAAACCAATTATTGAAATACTAATAACTTACAATTTATGGCAAGTTGAATGTGACAAGTTGAAATACTAATAATTTACAATTTGAAAACAGGTTGAATTTAGATTTCTAGTATTTTTCAATAAATCAGATAAGAATACAAAATACATGAGTTACATTTTTAAGTAAAAAGGAAACAAAAATTTCAGTTGTGTGTTTGAAAATAATTGTATGACACTGGTACACTTACACACATGCAGGCAATATACTAGCAAACATGAAATAAAAATAATAGAAATAAAACATTAAAAATAATTGCAAAATAAACTATTTCTAATTGTTCATTAAATTATCAGTATGAGCAACACTTATAAATGCTGTTTAGCCCGTGAAGGGCATAAAATTCTGTTTCTTTTCTATCTATTTGAAATTCTGTAATGTTTCCTTACCAGTCCAATTTCATTCTATCTATAGAATATTCTGGATTTTTTTGAATTATTAATCTAAGCAATAGCTGTACCTGCTTAAAAATTATTACAGCTGTACTGTAGCCCTTCTAACAGTGGGAATTAACAAGTTTAAAGCTATGTAAACAGATCTCACGTGAGTAAAATACTTGAGATACATGAGGGACAACATTTCAGATAGGAGAGCTGGCAGTAATTAGAAGTTTTCTTTATTTCTTTGTTCTTAGTCTTTTCATTGACACATTAGCTACAGTTCACATATTTATAGGATGAAGTTTGATATTTCAAATCATGAAGGAATTTTTTAACTTACAGGCTATGGAAAGCAGTGGGCCAAAGGTTTTGGAAACAGCAGAAGAAATCCAGCACAGGAGACAGGAGGTCTTGGACCGGTACCAGAGGTTCAAATATCGGGTTGTTGAGAGGGGTCAGAAGCTTGAAGAGTCTTATCAATACCAAGTTTTCAGAAGAGATGCAGATGACCTGGAGAAATGGATCATGGAGAAACTTGAGATTGCAAAGGACAAGTCGTATGAACCCACTAATATACAGGTCACTTGATACAACAGATGTCCCCAGAGCAGACACTAAGATCTCTAAGGAAAGAAACAGGCTTTTCTTTACATTAGTGTTGAGGGGTGGATATAAGCACAATCTCATTCTAATTACAAAGTGTAACAAACCAGTGGAATGAGAAGAAAAAAATGTAAAGTTGCGCCTCCCCTTCCGTTGTAGTGATGAAACAGAGAAACTAAAAATAAAAATATTACAGTATATCAGTTGTTGAAAGTTGAAAGTTGTTGAACTTCATGATATGTAAGTTGATTTCAGGGTGCACATTCTTACAATTATGAATGAGTTGACCAAAGATAAAGCAATGCTAGAATAGAAAGATTAGACTATTAGAGATAGAAATTCTATCTCTAAGTGGTCCCTGTCTTCTATGGGATATTATTGACAAAGAAAACTCATTAAAAGTGATCTTTTATAATAGCTTAAGGAACAAAATAGTGACTGAAAACACAATACATTTCTAACATAATATATATATATATATATAGTCTCCTAGTAGATCAAATTTGTGTCTGCAAATGGTATGCGTCCATCTACTGAACTCTGGTGAACCCAGAGTTACAACCTTAAAGAAAACTGACTCTCTCCTAGTAGTTACCGTTTCCAATAGTTCCTCAACTAGTGTTAGGGCTTCTTATCCAATTCCCCACTTCTGTTCTGGGATTTTGTCTGGCTAGAGCTTACCTGAGACTTGTGAATGCTGTCACCATTGCTATGAGTTCATATGGCTAACTACTTAGCTGCCTGGAAAACTCTGTTTCCTTGCAGTCATCCATCTCCTGCCCCCAACTTTATGTTCTCTTTATTTTTTAAATCATCAGTACAATTTGTGCTGCCATATACTCTTGGGTATGTAATCATCCACCTGAGTGTTGTAGAACTCCCAGGGACTCACTCATAAACTGACTCTCCCTCTCCCAGCAAAGAATATTTGCCAGTAGCTCCTTGGCTAGGCCTGGGACATCACAGCCACCGGGTCCCCCCTTGCTGGGATTTTGTCTGGCTTGAAGTTGTGCGGGTCTTGTGAGTTCTATGACAACCACTATGAGTTAATAACTTCAACTTCCCTATTGTGTTCAGAAAAGTTTCCTTGTAGTCATCTGATGCCTCTGTCTCTGAAACCTTTATTTAGTTGATAATTTCTCAAAGGCACAGGGATTAAAAAGACCCTCTCTATTTCCTCTAACTTGAGGACCTGTTTTCACTAACTGTATATTAGTATTAGTAACCATTTATATCCAGACATGATTGTTCCTGCATTGGTCATGGGTAATCATTTAGTGGAAGTTGGGGAGCAAGTGGATTTTCTGGAAGTAAGGGGGGATCACAAAATACTTGATGCTCCTAGGAGACTGTTTCATTAACCATAAACTCTTTTCTAAACTTCAGGGAAAGTACCAAAAGCATGAATCCTTTGTAGCAGAGGTGCAAGCAAAATCAAAGGTTCTACCTGGTCTTGAAGCAATCAGGGAAACTCGAATCGCTGAAGATCATTTTGCCCATGAAGACACCAAAGTAAATGAACAGTAGGGTCTCCAAGTGAACCTTCTAATTGTTGACTGTTTCATCAGGTTTTTATTGATTATACCATTTATAAATCTTGATGTAGCTGACTTAGAACAAAGGCTCATGCCTTTCGTTCTGCATTGAAACTGATGTAGAGAAATGATCGCACATCCCTGTGCTCCCCTGGTGGAAAAAGAACTGTGGTACGGAGAATTCACGTCAGCCCTAACACTACTCCTGGTGCCGCGGTATAATGTGTCAGAATCATCTTCACTTCAGCCTGTCCCAAATTTCTCCAATCAAGTGAATTTTCCAAGGGTCTTTTCTAAGTATTTCTTCTAACTTCAGTGCTTTTTCTCTTGTGAAGTTCTTGAAGATATGATGCTTGGCCATTTAAGTCTTCTCTGAAATCTTTTCCCCTTTGTGAATGAAGGCTTGCTCTTTTTACATAGCACGCCTTACAACTAATATTGTACCTTTCCAAACCTTCCTTTGTGCTTACTAAAAACGTCCCTAAAATCTCACATCGTCATAAATTTTTCCTTGAACATCTAGATCTAAAGGTCACCAGCCTTCCCGTGGGTTTTTACCACTGTGCTGCCTGTTCTTACTGTCTCACTCCAAACACGCTTCCAAATATATATTAAGATATCTGATTTATGATCCTTTTGTGTGAATAAAAATTTAGTTTTTGCATTTTTGAATTGCAAAAGAAATTTACATCACATAATTTACAATTGGGGCTGGTCTTTCTATGTGCATTGTAAACATTCTGTCCTGCTTTACTGTTAGCAAAATATGAACAGGAAATAGATTTTTAAATAGAAAATAATTTTACTAGGATGAAGAATTTGTAACAAGAAAATATCATTGGAATATTCATTTATCTAAAAATATAAATAACTCTGTATTACAGTTCTATTATGTAACCTCCTACATCAATTAAAATATATAAAGCTGGATATGGTGATGTATACCTGTTATTCCAGCAGGGAGAGAGGAACAGAAGGGACACAAGTACAAGCCCAGCCTGGGTTACATAGTGAGATCTTGTGTCAGAAAACTCTAAAGCAAAATAAAGAAACGTATTTGAGAAATGTTTAAAACACCAACTTTTATCATCTCTGAGATTATATAGGACAACTAGGGCATCAGAGGAATGTGTTCCAGATGCCTCCCGAGCAAACAAGCGGTGAAAGATAAGCGTCTTGAAGAGATGACATAGGTGGTAAATTTAGTTTCACAAAATTGGTGGTACATGATGTTCTGACCTAATCTGTCATTCAAAACTTTCTATATGTTTCAAACTACATAGTACAAAATTTCCTTACTGTTTTAGTGAAACTGTAATAATGTAGCTTTGGGGGGCTGGAGAGCTAGCTCAGTGGTTAAGAGCACTGACTACTCTTGCAGAGGACCCGCTTTGGGGGGCTGGAGAGCTAGCTCAGTGGTTAAGAGCACTGACTACTCTTGCAGAGGACCCTGGTTTGGTTCCCAGGACCCATATAGCAGCTAACAATCATCCATACTTCCAGTTCCAGGGGATCTGATGCCCTCTTCTGTCCTCTGTGGGAATTGCATGACACAGGTCTACTTCCATGCATGCAGGCAATACACGAATACACATAAAATAAGATATAATAAAACAAAAACTAATGTAGCTTTTATACTTTAGAAAAACAGTTCTTATATTTCTTCTATGGCATTATCATGGCTGTCTTATGTATGTAGAACACTTTCTGCCTGTCATCTACCTGTCAAAAATCTTCCTGTTCCTTAAAGCTCAGTCCAGATAGGTGCTCTCTCATGCATCCCTCTGTCTTGTCTTCATCCCCCGCTAGCCATGTTATAGCTTATATTTTGCCATTGTCTAACACTCCAAAACATTTCAACAGACTTTTCCCTCATGACAGATCACATTTGCTTTAGTTTAATAAGCATTTTTCATACATATCTTTCTTTCATTGGATATTTGTTGAACAATGAGTGCAAGGATGAATGAGAGGAAGAATTATTGATCCATAACTTTATCTACACAAGTCTCTGAGTCTGTACCTCCTCTATAGTCTCTATACCTCTTAAGTTTCTTTAAAATTTAATTTATGATCATTATGTGTAGGTATGCATATGGTATGTGTGTTTCTGTATTTGTGTGTGCGTGCATGTGTGTGTGTGTGTGTGTATGATGGCTCCATAGCATGATGCACAGACAGAGAGCAGAGTGTTCTATCCTACTACTACAGGGTTCTTAGTGATCAAATTCAGGTTGTCACGTTGTCAGGTTCTGAGGTAAGAGCTCTTGTCATTGAGCCATTTCGTCGGTCCAGCAATTCTGTCTTTCTCTCCTAAAGACCCATCTGGAGGAGCTGCATCGTCTGTGGGACCTGCTTTGGGAGCTGACACAAGAGAAAAGCGACCTGCTGCTGCAGGCACTGAAGTTCTATCAGTACTCACAGGACTGTGAAGACATCTTGGAGTGGATCAAAGAGAAGGTACAGGACCTCGTTTACGTGGAGTCTCTGACAGTTCTGTCCCACGTGCTCTATAGCAGCTTTCTCTAGGTTGCTCAGGCAATATTAGGCAATCGAGGTGTCTGTTCCTAGAATTCGTTCTTTGAAAAAAAAGTTGAACTCTGGCAAAGATTCTGGGCTACTCTGGAAGTTAATATTGCAGGGGTTATGTCTAAACCTATGGCTCTTAATAAGGTAAGGACAAGACTAGCACAAAGCGTATTTTATAGGTGATCTAGGCTCACCCCCTTTCTTCTTCCCAGGCCATGTTTTAAATGCCTATTTTCTAGAATTTCCCTTGCCTTCTGCATCCTGACTGATAGTATTTGCAACTCTTGTTTCTCAGTGCCTATAACTTTCAGAACTTTTCTAACAACTTCAAGTGCAGTTCCATAATCAGCACTGAAGTCTTTGCAGATCCAGACCCCAGGTGAGGCTACTGTAGATGTCCGATCTAAAGAGTATCAGAATAGAGCCAGGATGAATTGTTTATTCATCTTCTAAAACACAGAAGGTACTTCAGAGACTCTGGTCAACAATCCCTTAGATCTCACCAAAGGATTATTCCTGAAGGTACTGTCCCCTGGACCATTGTGCCATCTCAAGACACACTCCTACTTCTGACTTTTCCCAGGGTGGAGTGCCCTAACTACGACTGGAGCAGGGGTTTGAGGCTTTTGCTGTTTAAGAAATAGTAAATCATTACTGGTGACTCTGTAAATATTTCTGTGTCTGCAGGAGGCTATAGTGACATTAGTGGAGCTAGGCGATGACTGGGAGCGAACAGAAGTTCTACATAAGAAGTTTGAAGAGTTTCAGGAAGAACTGACAGCTCGGAAGGGGAAAGTGGACAGAGTCAACCAATATGCGAATGAGTGTGCTGAGGTGAGGTGGGAGCAAAAGGGTCATTCCAGGAAAAGGGTTCCAATCTTAAAGAACATCCAGCCATTAGTAGGATGGATATGAGGGGAGTCGGACACTGTAAAAATATATATAGAAGAATGCGTCTCCTTGGGTTAATATGTCCTGAACGGTTTTCTCTCTCTTCTGGTTTCACCCTCCTCCAAAACCATGGAAATGGCTGTGTGTGTGTGTGTGTGTGTGTGAGAGAGAGAGAGAGAGAGAGAGAGAGAGAGAGAGAGAGGAGACATGGAGAGAGAATTAAATCTACAAGGAGCTGAGGTAATTGGCACATCATGCAGTGTACTGATTATTTATGTTAACCAGGCATTCTTCATGAAAAACACACGAATGAAGTAGTAGACTGTATTGTTGGGCCATCAACACACAATTGGTGCTTCCTTATGTACACATTTCTGCAAACATATAGCATCATGATGTATGATTTTGTAGGAGAATGAGAAGGGGAATGGAAGCAGATTTACCATCATTTACTTAAGACAGTGATTCAGTAAGTTTGCAATCTTTGAGCTGATAAAGGCTAGGTGTAAGAACAAATAACCCCTAGTGTACATGATAAAATTAGGAGGCTGGACTTTGTGTGTGTGTGAGAGAGAGAGGGGGGGAGAGAGAGAGAGAGGCAGAGAAGAGAGACAGAGAGTAGGGAGAGAGGAGAGAGATCTGGCTTATAAGATATATACGCATATACATGTATAGATATATTATATGCACGTGAAATTCATAAACTCCAGCAGTTGCCTACACAGTGCTTCACATGTATGGTTTCCTTGTAATTTCAGCTCTGTAGTGAGACTGTTACTAGTTCTGTGTTAAAAGCAGCCAGAATTCAGGGTGAACAAGTACAAGACAAAGCAAAAGAACTGCTCTCACCTTTTTCAAGGCCGTCTAGTAGTTACTACATTTTTTTTTCACCACTTGTTTTGTTCTGGTGGAAGTGTCTCACTTACCTATTAGTTTCTAAAAACCCATCATAAAACTTAAAGTGTCTGTTGGTCCAAAATTTAGTGACTCCAACATTTGAGCTGCTCGGCTGAGCCAATTTCTTGATGTCACTTGGTAGTCTTACATGGTTGCAGCTATTTGGTGGCTCAGTCAAGGAAGAGGACACGGGATAACCTCAGCCTCCTTGGAGTCTTGGTGAAGAATGACAAAGTCCTTCTCTGTGTGGTCACTCATGACGTAAATAGCCATCATTCTTTCTATGCCGGTGTTCATATGCCAGGGTAGCAAGATATGAACAGTGTAAAATTAGCTGTTAAAGAGATTTCTGCATACCATCATCTTTGCACACTTCCAGTGTTGGTTTCCCTCTTCAGAAGAAACATCCTAAGCTGCCTGAGATAAAGGCAAAGCAGGATGAAGTCAATGCTGCCTGGGAGCGGCTCTGTCATCTGGCTCTCAAGAGACAAGAAAGTCTGTCAAATGCTGCAAATCTCCAACGATTCAAAAGGTATGGTTCCTCGAGTTTAGTCAGTAGGTAGAGCACCAGTAGCACCAGTCAGAGACTCTGACATTGAACTGCAGCATCGCCTGGAGGCACACAGGCTTGTAATCCCAGCCTAGATAGAAATGGAAGCTGGAGGATCAGGACTTCAAAAGACATGGACCAAGCCACTACTGATAGGAACACATCAGGTTTATTTGTATTATCCTTTATATACTACTGTTAATAATTTTTAAGCAGTATTTCAAATCAAAGGCCATCATGTGTTTGCCTTTGAGAAAGCAATGGAATTAGGAAAACGAAACAACTCTATAGCCAATGTTTAGACATTGAAATCCAAAGCAACAAAAATCATAGCACCAGGGTGATAGCTCTGTGAAACAAGGAAAGTGTATGAGAATTAGATGAGGTGGAAGGAAAGTAAATGAGGATTCATGAATACTGACCCATGTATTGGAAGCATCTCTAGAAGCTCAACTGTCAGGAGTCCTCGGTCCAAAACATCTCAATGGAAACATCTGACAAGCAAGATGTTTTTAAGTTAGTTTTTTCTAGTATGTAGGAAAAGAGTAATTGCTACCTAGAGAACTAGGCTGGTTCTGGGGATGCTCTGTGGCCCTCTTTATCTTGTCATGCCTGCCAACTTGATTTGTTGGTGCTCATGGTACTGTCGTGTAGGGACGTGACAGAAGCCATTCAGTGGATGGAAGAGAAGGAGCCGCTACTCACCTCTGAGGACTATGGCAAAGATCTCGTTAGCTCTGAGGCCCTGTTTCACAGTCACAAGGGACTTGAGAGGAGTCTTGCAGTCATGGATGACAAGGTAAGCCACTGCTGGTGGAATGACTGGGTCCCTAGGGTGACAAAAGGTATGAGGGGTTCTCGTGCCTAATGCTATCCTCAAGAAGATGCAATAAGTTCACTCCTCAGTGGAAGGGGAATTATTCAGCTTCTCAGTTTGCATCCTCATTCTAGTACATATTTGTTCACAGGAACCGCATAGCCCTTATTTTATACAAATTATTTTTAGTTAAACAACCATATTTGCTTCTTAGTCTCAAATAGTTTGTAATATGCTTTGTAGTTAAATACCTCAAAAGATGGTACATTTATCCTAAGAAATATCTTAGGATATAGAGTTTTTCTTTCAAGCCCATTTTCTTCCATAAAATTCTTCTTCAATCCTTTTTTTTTTCTTTTTTGGTTTTCTTTTACCTAATAAATAAGGAAGTAAATTTCTTTTATAATAAACTTGGGGGAAATTAAAATTTAATCCACCTTGTGGCTCTCTTCTAAATGCTGGAAAGTTTCAGTTTCTATGTCTGATGGAGCAGTCTGCATAGACTTGGAACAAGTCTATATCCTTGGATAATTCTTATCCTTTATTTCCTCCTGTATTAGTGATGTTTCTGTCACTGTAACGAAAATGTCTGGCAGAAACAATTTAAAGGTCGAAGGATCTAGTTTGGCTCACAAATTTAGGGGCTTAAATTTGTTGTTGCTTGGTCTCATATGCTTGCAAAGAACATCATGGTGGTGGGAGAATGTGGTCAGGGAGAGATGTTTGCTTCATGACTGACAAAGAAGCAGAGGGGTGATACTTGAGCGGTCCAGAATGCTATCTACCTCCTAAGGACATCTTCCCATTGACCAGCTTTCTTCAGCTAACTCCTACCTTCTGCCACCTCCCCATAATTCCCCCATATTATGAATCCATGAATTGATTGATCCACTAGGTCAGAGCTCTTGTGGTCTATTCATCTCTAGAAATGTTCTGTTGCCACAGACATACCCACAGATGGGTTCTAATAGTTCTGAGGCCTTTATTATTACCATTAAGTTGGCAATCAAAACCACTACACTTCCCTTTTCAACTTTAGTTGCAGTTAAGTCAATTATCCCTAAATTTCCAAAGAAGAGACAGAACACAAAAAGATCACACTCGCTGTGCTTGGACTAAACCCTGTGACCAGTTCCACCATTCTTCTTTCATTCTTTATTTTTTGTTCTATTTCTAGGGTCTAATTTTCTAATAATAAGTGGTGAAAACACAGGACTTTATGTATAATGATAATAAAATACCAAATGCTCAACAGTATCTGATCCTGTTTGAGCATAATGCAAGAACTAAAGTGGGATTTGGAAAGTAAAGCACACCCACATTTTGTCAGAGAATTCCCAGTCTGAAATGTGTTTTAAGTAGTATGGTTTTTCTGGAATTTTCTTGGGTTTTAGGCAGAAGTGTCCTGTTTGACTGCTACAATAATGTTTACAAAGACAACATAAAAAGAGATGGTGAGGGATGGAGTTTGGTATGATCCTTGCTTCTAACACAAGCTGAATGATTAATTAAAACAGCATCTCTCTGTTGTACTCACATAAGGTGGGAATAAGAACAGCCTCCCCCCACCCCAAATGTTTCTCCTGATATTAGGTGAGGAACACAAAAGAGGAATGTAAAATACTAAGCACAATGACAGAAAATGCATATTTAATATGATTAACATAGGGTCATTTATATTAGTGAAATGTGTCGATATAAACATGCTTATCAATTGTTATTATTCATTTTATTGCTGTATTAAACCCTCTCCCATAAAAGACTTCCAGAAGTCAGACTGCTTGGATTTCCAATGAAGTTTCTTTCTCCTTTCAAAGGTAAAGGAGTTATGCGCTAAAGCATACAAGCTGATGACTTCGCACCCCGAGGATGCGCCTCAGATTCAGCAGATGAAAGAGGATCTGATTTCCAACTGGGAACGCATTCGTGCTTTGGCTACTACCAGATTTGAGAAGCTGAAGGCTTCTTATGGGTCAGATATTCCTCCTGTTTCTTTATCTTCTACAGAGCCCCAAATGCAAAAGACTCAGCTCTCCTGCCTGCTCAGTAGAGGCAAATGAAGTTTTAACTTGTCAAAGGCAGTCGTTTGTGGACTGGTATAATGCTCAGTATCACTCCACTTCCCCGTCCACATCTCATCCCTCTGTCTTGCCTGGCCTTATAGTTAGTTGTATGAGTTGTAGAGTGGCTCCACCTAAGGTAAGGACATAAAATAAAACTTCACATGAAAAGCATCAAAACAAATCCAGGATTGTCTCTTAACTGCAGGCTGAAAGCTTGCAAAATAAATTTGTAACAAGCTGGAGAGTTGGCTCACCTGTAAGGAGCACTCAACTGCTCTTGCAGAGGACCCCCATTTGGTTCCAAGCACACGCGGAGGCTTAACGAGCCTCTGTAACTCCAGTACCAGGGGATATGGCGCCCTCTTCTGGCATCCACAGGTATTGCACCCACAACATGTATGCAAAATACTCATACACATAAAATAAATAATTGCTTTCCAAAACCTGTGATAGCAAGGTACCATTTTATTAGTTAATTTTTATAGTTAGTTGTCAAACCAGAAGATTGTGTTCACCTTATTGTTATGATTTACAACCAAATGGTGAACTTTTTTTTTTTGGAACAGGTACTTTTTCAGTGTTCATTTGTTTATTACTAGAGATAAACATAAGCTAAGGTACTTAGGGCAATCCAAGTTCTAGACCCACTTCCAGTGAGCTTTTATCCTGCTATTTGCATACCATGTATTTGTGTTTTGGCTACATGGTGAGTACTTTACTCCAATCTAACTACCTCTGAGGCAGGTATATCTTAAAGGTGGTAGAATTGTTACATATGTGCCCTGCATACACACTGACACACCTACTCTAGGTTATATAACTCAGTGTAAAGGTCTCCATACCAGGAATTGGAAAGGACAGGTATGGAACTGGGTCAAGGAGAACCTGACATATAGCTTAGCCCAACTCTAGCTCTATGTTGTAGTCATTTCAAATCTTTTTTCTCATGCTTGTCCTGTACCCCACTTTTTCCACAGGTACCATCGGTTCTTATCTGACTATGATGAGCTCTCAGGCTGGATGAACGAAAAGACTGCTCTGATCAATGCTGATGAGCTGCCAACAGATGTGGCCAGTGGGGAAGCCCTGCTAGCCAGGCACCAGCAGCATAAGGTAAAAGGCTCCCAAGAAGGAGGAAGGGGAAGACATTTTGTTCAGTGTCTAAAAAGCCAGGAGACTTCTTGCTGCATTTGACACATTCTGTTTTGTGGCTACAGCATGAGATTGACTCTTATGATGACCGATTTCAATCTGCCGATATGACTGGTCAAGAGCTGCTGGATGGCAATCATGAAGCCTCTGAGGAAATTCGAGAGAAAGTAAGCTGATTTCACAGGGTGTCTGGAGTTTCATTGACATAGTCAGCCCTCTTCTAGCTTATGTTCATAGGCAATCTCTGATAGGAAACAGGGATAAAGGTAATCTAAACATGTTAATGCTATGTGTGTGGCATTCTCCTGCCCCTTGTCACATATGTATTAGCAAACCAAGTGACTTGATATTCTCAGGACATGAATATGTGTTCTGCTTTAAACCTCAATTCTCTGACTGCTACCTAATTTGAAACCTCTATACTATCTTTCCCCATTAAAAATGCATTGTTTTTTTTTTCTATCATATTTCCACCCTCATGTGTAGATCATGAATCCAATGATGCCTGTGCTTTACTAAGGTCTAGGTCCCCTACAGGCCCTAGACCAGTACTGGGCAGGGCCAGTATCATTTCTGATCTAACTATTGAACTTCTGATTTTCTCATATTTGTGTTCCTTGTTAAAAAAGAAAAACATAACTTCAGAGCTCCACTGATGAGGAAATCAGATTTGTTCTCGTGAATCATAGGGGCTTACTTTAATCATACAACCCAGAGAGAGAGCTTTGTTCCAGTCACAGAGTCCACACTCTATGGGGTGATGATCCCAGTGTGAATTACATACTTCTTTTCATCTCACTAGATTCCAACCACAGCCTCCAGTTCTGTGAAATGGATGAGGTAGAAATAATAATAATTTAAATGCCTCTGGAACTCTATAGGAACATTATAATATCGGTTTCATTCTTTGAAAGAACTTTAGGTTTTTGGAAACCTTAGCTCTTGTTCTGGGATTCTGAGAATTTGTGCTGCTTTTTGATAACATTAACAGCACTAATTACAGTAAACTAGAATTCCTTGAGCAGATACTTGATCAAAGATACAAATTTTTTCCTGGGTTTAAGAATGTGGTTTTCTCTTTTCTTGCATGGTTCTTATTTATTTTATGAATAAAATGCAAACTTCTCAGTCTGGCATCTTGAGGCTCTATGAATTTCAACTTCGTCAAACATCTTCTCATTTTTAAACCCTGCATTTTTATCTATAGTGCAGTATATAAATCTAACAAGTGCTATTGTCCCAGCAATATTATTTTCTCAAGGTATTATATGATAATTCAATACTGATGCTCCCCCAACCCACCCTCAGCTCTGGACATCTCTTGGCATATTACTCCTCACACTCGCCAAATTTTCAATCCTTTGTTCTTCTGATCTGAATTTATATATTCTTTTTTTAAAAAAAAAAACATTTAAATATGTTGTGTCTCTTTTATAGAATTTATTTCTGTAGTTTTGTATTTCCTGTGCTACACTTATTTGTTGGGCCTTTAGCAGAAGAGGCCATTTCTTATTCTATTTTCTATCTTTCCAAAGGCATTGCGTTTATTAGCTGCTAGGCAGATGTAGAATAAAGTAAACCATTTAGATATCTGTTGATTCATCATCCCTCCTTTCCGTAGATGACAGCACTTGCTAACGCCTGGGCTGCCCTGCTGGAGCTGTGGGACAAGCGTCAACATCAGTACTGCCAGTGTCTGGATTTTCACCTCTTCTACCGAGACAGTGAACAAGTGGATAGTTGGATGAGCAGACAAGAGGTAACAGGAGGTGCCCATCCAGTCTTCAGATGCCATGTCCCCCAAACTTCATTTACTCTATGACCACTACCAGTATTCTCACAACCATTTTTTGTGATGGACATAGTGGGGCACACGTATAATCTCAGGACTCAGGGAGTCCCAAGTTTGAAAGTTGCTTTGTCTACATAGTCACACTATCTCAAAAAATGCTGAATATAAATAAGCATACATCAAATGAGTATCAAATTAGCAAGGGATCAAGAAAAAAACTTGCAATCAGTCAATCAGTCAGGGTTAATGAGGAATTTCCTATACTATGCAAATGGTCCTCTCAAGGCAGTTTTGACAGCTAGATTATTTGAGAGAATTTCATATGGACAGACCCAGAGATACAGGTAAGAAAATTATGTACAAGTATTTAATGGAAGTCTGAATCTCATGGTATTTGGGGTTAATTTTTTTTGTATAATATTCTTATTTGTGTTAATCTTCATTTACTCTTTCTTTTCCCTTGTCTTAGAGATATTCTAAGAGGAAAGTTTCTTGCCAATGAGAACATCTAGGATGTATCTTTCTGTCATTTACAGGCCTTCCTAGAAAACGAGGACCTGGGAAACTCACTGGGAAGTGCTGAAGCCCTTCTTCAGAAACATGATGACTTTAAGGAAGCCTTCACTGCGCAGGAAGAGAAGATCATAGTAAGGAATGGTTCTCTGTGGACTTTCACTTCCTGTTATGTACATTATTTCAACACTAGCCCCTAAACACAATCATTCCTGTGACTATAAGACACAGCGTGAGAGCTGTTCTTAGTAAATTCTTAGCCCTTCCTTTGCTGTTGGCAGTATCTATCTGTCTGTCTTAAAACTCTTTGGTTTTAGTCTATGAACATATAAACTGTTTATATAGTGTGCAAGTAAAAACCAAATAAAGATGTATCTTTTGCCAAAAAGCAGAAATGATTCAGAATAATTATTTTATAAAAAATTTATTGATCTAAAAAGAATATTTAGAAAATATTTTCATTATGACAGACCATTGTTTTCTATAATAAAGTATATATCTTATTTATTTTGAATTACAAATAAAATATCAGATTATAGTCAATATGGAATCATAACTGAAAATTTTGAAATATAGCATTTTTCCCTTCCAATAATAATTTCAATATTTCTCTCATAATGTACAGACGTTCAAATTACATTAATTTCCCCCATAATGGAATGCTTTCCTTTATAATGTCTTCATTTTTCTTTTTCTATTTAACGATATCATAGAAGTTTTTGTGGACCTTGGGTTATAATATTCCAGAAATTTTTTCAGTATGTGAGCAGGACTCCAAAAATTTAGTGAAGTGCATGTATAGTGGCCGATGGCTTTAATCCCAGCACCCAAGAGGCAGAGGCAGGTGGATCTCTACAAAATCAAGGCCAGCCTGGTCTACATAGGGAGTCCCAGGTTAGTTGGGGCAAGAGGGAGATCCTGCCTCAAAAACCAACAACAGGTGGCGAAAACTCCAGAGTTTCAATATACTGTCTTCAGCCGTCAGCTAGGATGGTGCGTGTGCTCCTACACACACGTTTGCAAGCGCGCGCGCGCGCGCGCGCGCGCGCACACACACACACACACACACACACACACACACAGAACCCCACAGACATCATCAGCAACACCAGAATACAAAATGTCGTCAAATTCCAAATCTTCCCTTTAGTTAATATCACACTTAAGGCAAAACCTTCTTAATCCAAATATTTATATTATGACTCTTGTTGGTAGATGCTAATAGTACACAGAAATTTCTTTTATTGTGTTTTCTTTTACTTTATGTCATTTTCCTATTCAAATTGATTAATCTTTTCCCACCTGTAGAAATTTGAAGAGCTTATGAATGAATAGGAATAAAAATTCCTCTCTATACTTTCTGACCATTTCCCTCATATGGTCAGAAATAAAGATGTAGTTATGACTACATATATGAATGGATTAGACACTGGAGAGCTCTCAAGAGATAGAGATTGGCTCTGTCTTCCTCTGTGTTCACCTATAGTGGCATCTGAATTCACTCATTGTAATCCAGATCGAAAATAAATGTTATGGTGTAGACAAGGTACTCAGCATACCTTGAATGCATTTTGAAGTCCGGTTTATGTCAGTACTCAGGACTAGGGTCTAGATCTAACTCTCAAGTTTGTCATCCTTGCATGCTGCCTTTCTTTTTCTTAAAGAGCTGCTAAAACTATGGCCACTCTGAGGAAAAGCCACTTTGTTTATTTTTTCAGACTTTAGATGAGACTGCAACCAAGCTGATAGACAATGACCATTACGATTCTGAGAACATCGCTGCTATCCGTGATGGGGTAGGTCCAAGGCCCAGAGCCTGCATCTGCCTCTGCACTGGGAGCAAGAAAGCATTAGGGGCAAGGTGGCCAAGGTGGGAAGTGACCTCTGGTATCTGTATTTGTTTTAACTAGCCGTGAATTTACTCACGTATTTTGCAGTTGTTGGCCCGGCGTGATGTCCTCCGTGAAAGGGCTGCCATTAGAAGAAAACTGCTCACAGATTCAGTGCTTCTTCAGCAACTGTATGAAGACTCAGATGACCTAAAAACTTGGATCAACAAGAAGAAAAAGTTGGCAGATGATGAAGATTACAAGGTAGGGGGAGTTTTTGGACCCTTGTTATACTCATGAGCAGATAATGTCAAGAAGAACTTATGGTTTTGGAGCTAAAGACAGTTGGTGATCCTCACTGATAGAAGAAGAAGCAGGGCAATGGAAAAGGTTAACGGTTTCTCTAAGTCTGTACGCCTAGACACAAACCAATAAAATGGATTATAGCTTTCCTATATCTAATTTCCCTCTCCCCTTTCCTCTGGAATCCCTTCTATTTCTCCTTAACAGGATGAAGGCGTGCTCCGGACTTAACAGTTTGCCCTCCCTTTAACTTCAGTTCCACTCTTCTAAATATACCTATTACTTGTTTTACTTTGCTTTATTTATCCTTAAGACAGGTTCCTTTCATGTTTCACAAGAAGGCCTCAAATTCATAATCATTTTGCCTCAGTCTCCTCAGTAGCTAAGATTATAGGTGTGGGTCAGCATGCCTGTTTCTGCTACGTACCTTTGTAATAGGAAAGCATCCATGATTTAAATGATACATGCGAATCTTATGAAAGCTAAAATAAACTCAAAATTAATTTAGAACTTGGATAATGTAGACTCATCTCAGCTTTGTGGCTGAAATGAAAGTCTTTTATTTTATACATGAAGAAGCTAGCTTCTGAGTTAGAAAGTGTCTGGAGTTATCCAGTTATTTAAAACATGATTTTTTTCATAATAGTTAGAAACCTGGACTCTGAAATTTAACCCGGGCTTGAATTCTTGCCCCTATATTCTTAGTTCCTATGACTATGCAAGTGGATGAAGTGTCTCTGGCCACTTGTTTCTCTTCATTAAGGTTATTCCAAACACAAGTTTTATTCACAAATTTTATAATCTGTCATGTATAAACATATATGCCACTCCATACTCTTTTTAAAAAATATTTGTTATTTTTATTTTATGTGTATGAGTGTATTGCCTGCATGTATATGAGTGCACCTGTGTCTTCTGACCATGGAGGTCAGAAGAGGGCTTAGGATTCCCCTGGAACTGGAGTTAAGGATGGTTCGTAGCCACCATGTGGGTGCTGGGAATCAGACCCGGGTCCTCTGCAAGAGCAGTCAGTGCTCTTAATTGCTGAGCCATCTCTCCAGCCCCTCAAACTCTTTACAATTACAGTCAAGTCTCAAATTAGTCTCTTGATTTCTAAACTAATATTTAATTTTTCCTATATAACTTATTCTTAAATGTATGCCTTTGATCTTTATGTTCAGATTTCTTTAGAGAATTTTTAGTATCTTACTTGTATCTCTCATCCTGTGGAACTATGTAGCATATGTTTTTTTTCTACACAAGTTATTTTCCAATGTGTACAGGGCAAATAGATCTCTATGTAAGGCAAATGGGTAGATGATGCATGTACTAAAAAGTAAATGGAAAGTATTTCTCATCTGTTGTGACAGCTCTGATTGATGATTAATGATTGCATGAAGGTCATATTGAAATGATTTCATGTTCCACCTAGGTTTAGTGTAATGAGTGGTGGAGTGTTTAGCCATTCTCCACTGTGTGTAGAAGGAGAAACTGTCCATATACATTGCCCAACAATGGGAAAAGATCTTCTTTGCACTATCTTAGCATGTGTACTGGAGTAACTATTTGCCCTCAAATTTTCTTTTGTAAAATAACATTTATTGAATTTCTTCTTTATACGTATTTCATAAGTTTCTTATTATTGTGACCCCCTAACCTCTTGAATCTTCCTCCCACAACAATGAACTCCCAACCCCTAAAAATCCCTTTTTCATATTCACGGCATTTGTTGGATTTCTTGGTTTGGGGTTGCTTTGTTTTGTCTGCTGAGTTTAACCAGGATCATCTGTGTGACCAGGGGGTTGACGCCAATAGCTTAGTAGTTAGTGGTTGGGCCCCAGAAGCTCCTCCTGATTTGTGATTTTGACTGTTGATGGGTCCAGTCTTGTGTAGCCCCATGACAGACAGCCACATCCACCGTGAGAACATGATTTCATCACTGCATAGGTTTCTCATGCCCAGAAGCCAGAATTTCATAGCCCTTCTCCCTCTATTCTGTTCTTACATTCTCTCCTCCTCCTCTTCTGTGATGATCCCATCACTTAAACAACCTTGAGCAACTCTGTGTATCTGCATTCACCTTCATTCATTCCAAAGAGTAGTTTCTCTGTTTAAGGCTGGGAGCAACACGTGTCTGTGGGTATAAAAGTAAATATTTATAAAGCATTGTGGCACCACGCCAATTTACCTAAACAAGAATAATGAGTTCATCCTAGGGCTGAAGACCTTCTCAGCCATGAACTTCTGACCAGCTTTACAGTACCAGATCTGAATTCCCTCTTATAGAGCAAGCCTCCAAACCAATCAGAGAGAGGCTGGATATCCACGACAATCATGCCATTATTTCACCAGTAGGCACATCCTGTCTGCGAGGCTGGTATTGCAGAGTTCATAACTAGGTAAAACAGTTGGTTCCTTCTCTGCCCTGTGGCCTGTGTAGTACCTTATGGCAGTGTGAATCTTAGCAGCGGAGAGGAAGCTTCCATCTCAGTTCCAGTTTGACCTCTCTACACCACACAGGAAATTTCCATCCATCCTTTAAGGAATGATTCCTTTGGTTTTCTCATCCTCTCTCAGGATATACAGAACTTGAAGAGCCGTGTTCAGAAGCAGCAGGACTTTGAAAAGGAATTGGCAGCTAATGAAATTATGCTTAACAAATTGGAGAAAACTGGTCAGGAGATGATTGAGAGTGACCACTATGCCTCAGAAGCTGTGGCCACACGTATGAGTGAGGTTGCCAGTCTCTGGAAGGAGCTGCTGGAGGCAACAGCACAGAAAGGTCAGAAGCAGAGGTTTTGGTGAAAACTGACTTTTCAAATCTGAAACCTAACATTTCTATCTTTGCCATTATCTGGTGACCTCTACACAAGAGGGTGCTGCCAGTGTGCTTCCCCATGTCATCTAATGGCCAATGTTCAAATTCTAGTGTAAAAGTATCTATCTATCTATCTATCTATCTATCTATCTATCTATCTATCTATCTATCTATCTATCTATCATCTATCTATCTATCTATCATCTATCTATCTATCATCTATCTATCTATCATCTATCTATCTATCTATCTATCTATCTATCTATGTATCTATCATCATCATCTATCTCTCTCTATATATATTTCAATTGCTGGCCAGGGTGGCCCAAGAGACTCCCAGAGAGTAACCCAGCATAAAACTGGGAAAATGAACAGCAGACCCCAATCATATCTAAAGGAATATTGGCAACTGATTGCTACTAGATGAAGAAGAGCTGATCTTCCTAAAACAAAGGTATCTAGATAGGCTGACTAGATTCACTGGATGGACAAGTATTGGGGAATGGCTGGGGTGCTGACAACACAGTGGACAGTAGCAGGGATGACAGAGTATAAGGGCTCTGGGGGGCATAGGTATGGGAGGGTGCCATCTGGCAAGTGGGTATATAGATGAATAATTTTTAATATATTTTCTTCATCTACAGCTTTTTATAGGAACCATCTTTTGTTTTCTTAACTATGTTTCTAACTTTATTTTTACTTGAATCAATAGTCATAAACCATGAATTCAGATTGACTCTGAATCTAAACCTGATGAAGTTTAATAGTGTTTTATATTTTGGTTTTATAAAGCAGACATATACATGGGTTCTATTTAGGCACTAAAATATTAGACAGTAAAACTGACATCAAGAGACTAGCTGTTGGCATCATATTTGATGTTCCTAATACATTTTGTTTATACAGAGTCTTGAACAAATACTTTATATCACCTATCTACAATGACATTGGGAAATTAATCACTTGTTAGTAACTATTACAAATAATAAATTTTGCTTGCCAGTGCCCCTTTGTTATAAATGTTATCTATAGACATGGTTCTGCCCTGGCTATAGAAAAGATGTGTCCCACTGTTTTCTTTGGGTGTCATTCTGATTGTTGGTCTAGACAAAAAATATGATGTAGTTATAAGAGTACATTGTGCCTGCTACTTCTCATATCAGGAAAGACAGCAACTCTGGAGGACTAATAACACAAATACATACATGGTCAAAGAATGAAGAATGTAGTGAAATGTAATGGGAATAATCAGGTTATTTTCTAGAAGATAATATTATGGTTTTGTGGTGAAAAACACACAATAATAAACTAGCCATATTCAAAAAAAAACCTACAAATTTCAAACTGAGCTGACCCCACAATTTATGCTTCTCTTAGAAAAAAGTGATGTTTGGGTTTGAATCCTATTTAAAGACAGGTCTGAATAAAGAGAATCAAATGACATAGATGTGCCTGAGACATCTGGGATATGACATAGCAGAGATGTCACCAGAGAATGTAACTCACTGTGCATCCATACTTTGATAGCATCTCTGTATTTTAAAACCAAATATCATTAGAATTCTGCTAACTTAAAATGAATGCTTTTGTGCTGATACGTGAGACAGCTATCCTAATTTTCCCTCTGGGATATCAAAATGTATTTCTTTTTAAGTTGAAAGAAGGAATACTACAGTATACATTGGAACACCTGTAACTACTAACATCCTTTCCCTAATGTCGTCTCCCAGGGACCCAGTTGTATGAAGCTAATCAGCAGCTACAGTTCGAAAACAATGCTGAAGACCTGAAGCGCTGGCTGGAGGAGGCCAAGCAGCAGGTTTCCTCTGAGGATTATGGGAAAGGACTAGCTGATGTACAGAATCTACTCAGGAAGCACGGCCTCCTGGAGTCGGCTGTGACTGATCGTCAGGTTTGTCATTAGCTTTTTGCTGATCATAAAGAATTGGATATACTCTCTGAGCAGACTCAAAATGTGTAGCTTTTATTGTTACTATTAATGGATCAAAAACTAAGGGGAATTTTTCAATATTTTAGTCGGTGAGCTGCTTACCAATATTGCCTCCAATTTTCTCATTCTCTTCATCACCTTTTGTTGGAAACTGTTAACTTATGAGCCCTTATTGAACCTTCTCAATATTATACAGTACTCTCAGTCTAGAATGCTAGGGTTTCTTTTGCTGTTTTTGTTTTGTTTTGTTTTGTTTTGTTTTGTTTTGTTTTGTTTTCACAGGGTCTCCCATAACCCCAGCCCATTTGGATCTCACTATGTAGACCAGACTGGCCACGACCTCACAGAGATCCTCCAGCCTCTGCCTCCGACTGCTGGGTTTAAAGGCTAGAATCCTAGGTTTTGAAGAGTCTGCCCACTCACATTTTATAATCTCATTTGTAGTTCATTTCATATTATTTTGTCCACTATGATTACCTATAAAATACAGTTTTCCCATTCTGATATTCTACATTATGACCAATCATTTGTTATGATCATACCAATCATTTTTAAGAATATTACAAGCCAGATGTAAAGTCACAGAAAACATTAACAATGGGGTTAGAGCGATGATACCAATCAGACTCCTAACTTCAGGATTATTCATCCTAATATCTCAGTGGACTGTTTTTTAAGATAAATGTAGGGCTGGAGAAATGACTCAGCAATTAAGAACAGGTGCTGCTCTTGTAGAGGACCTGAGTTCCGTTGCTAGCACTCACACGTTTGAACAGCTCACAACTGCCTGTAACTCAAGCTCCAGGGAATTCAATGCCCTTGTCTGACCTCCACAGGCACACACACACACACACACACACACACACACCCCACACACACACACACACACACACACACACACACACAGAGCATACACTCATACAGACATAGGCACATACACATAAATAAAAATGAATCTTAAAGAAATAGATTTAAGATAAATGCATCCAGTAAGTTTCTGACATATGGATACTGTGAGTTTTTGGAGACTTCAAGCTGAGTTAATTTCTTACCCAGAAGTCCTAGCTGTAATACAAAACTGTTTCTGTTGTTCTCTCTATGGCCCTACTAATCTATCCTCTCAAAGTGCACAAATGTAATATCTACTGTTTTGTTTCTCTGGTTTGAAAATAAAAACAAAAATAACCTACATGAAAAGAAAAAAATATTTATACTGGCTTATAAAAGGTTTTAAATTAAGTAAGAGGCTAGAAGTATAGAAATTAAACAAAGTTGGCCTTGAAATCTATATAGAGGAAGAAACGTTAGCACATTTTTAAAGAAAGTAAAAGATTTGTTTACATTCTTATTTAAATATTTATTTTTTATTTAAAATTAATCAAAAGAAGACATCTTGAAAAAGATGTAAACTCTCAAGAAACATGTGCGGGACTTCTTTGGGGAAAGTTAGACTGTTTTATAACCAAGAATTTTTTTCTCCTAGGAGGATTAAAGGTTAAGAAATCATACTTAAAAAGTAAATTTTAGATGATAAATATCTTTAGTGTCTTCATCCCAAAGATTAGGAAACTACAATCAAAACAGATGAAAAAGCTTTCACAAGGTCAAATTCAAAAAGGCTGGTAGCCAGAAATCGAACTAGTTCTCCTCTCTCCCTAACCTGGCTCTTCTGCACTATGTAAGAACTTCCAAAAAGAACAATGGTTCTATGACTATGTTGATGCTGATGATACTGATGATGGATTTTAATGATGATTAGGATGATGAATTTTAAATCACTCTTTTATACTATTCCAGTGTTATTCAAAGTACCCTTAGAAATGAGAAAATTTTAACTAATGTTAGGTTTTATTTTAATTCAATGTGAATTATAGAATTCTTTATGAAGAAATGAATATATTCCTTGAGACTGTTGATTATCACTGTTTTCATCCAAATTATAGAGAAGTAGAGTAAATCTTTTACCCATGGAGCAGTGGATGACGGTACAGACTAAAACCAATGCTTGGTCTTCTCTGCTTCTTGAAGAACTTCTCTTGTGAATAATGTACCTCTCCACAGAGAAAATCCAAGCAAATTCCTTGGTACCACGTTTTATTAGGCCTCTCTTAATGAAAGCCAAATTCATCTCATATTTATTTTAACATAAAAGCTTGTAAGCAGAATTTTATTTCTAGGAGGTCTGTTCAATCTCACTTCAGCATCTTGATTAGGCGGACATGAGCAAATGCAGACAATTATGGCATCAAATTCAGTTCTTTTGCATCTCCTGAGGTTCTGACATTTTGTTTTGCAATACCTCAGTTCATCTGATAGCTGTCGTTACTGTTATAAAAAGAAAAGAAGCTTAACATCGCCAGGTATTTTCTTATTTGCAAATGTAGCTCATCTCAAATAGAGAGGAAGTATCTAGAATGGGAACATAGATTGAAAACCTTCCACTTTTTCCCCTCGGGTCTGCAACTTAAGAGTATTGCCCATTAAAGTACCATAGTTCTGATTTGCCTGGAAGTATTTTGTCCATATGAATGTGGTTTGAAAATGGCTTCCTGTAAAAGAAGTTGATGAAATTATCTTCATTAAAATGACCCTTCCCACTGTGCTTTACTTATATAATTAGACATCCTAACATGTATCGGTGGGAGCGAATTCTCCCATTTCCCCCACTTCTCACAGCACTTGGAAATCTTGGCCGTTCATAATAAGTCATGTGCTTTCTTGTCATACATTGACTTTCTCCCTCAGGATCAAGTGGACACCCTCACAGACATGGCTGCACACTTTGAAGAAATAGCCCATCCCAACGCTGGGGACATGCGTGCAAGGCAAGAATCCTTGGTGTCCAAGTTTGAAGCTTTGAAAAAGCCACTGGCTACTCGGAAGAAGAAGCTCATTGACCTGCTCCGTCTACAGCAGATTTGCAGAGACTCAGAAGATGAGGAGGCGTGGATCCAGGAGACGGAGCCCTCAGCCACCTCCACCTTTCTTGGTTAGTACAGCTTGAGCAAGCTGGGCCTTCAGACAGGAACAGTCTTCAGATTGACTGAGAGATCCGGGAAACAAGCACATGGGAGTAAAAGTTTCATCTCATCTCTTTTACCTTGAACTCATGAAGATCTTTCAAAACCTCCATACATGTTTTTAAATCATGTCAACAAATTCACCTTACAGAACTAGACCTGATCAATGACATGAATTTGGGGCCTCTGGGAAGATCTGGTATATTTAGATTGTTTTGCTCCTAGATCTAAAACTTGTTATTGTGAAGATTTCTTACTGAGAGTGAATGGTTAATCTTTGAGGTACCAAGTAGTTTTGTCTGGGATATTGGTAACCCCATTAGAACTATCTGACTGATCACAAAGAAGAAAATGTAAGATAGTCAATGTACAATTGTCTTACATTTTAGAACTTATTAGCTCATTAATGGACAGTTACACTGATGTACAGAATAAGCACATATAAATATAGCACAGCTTTATTCAGATATATCAGAAACATCTGTGAAGGACCATAGAGGGATTCATCTAGGAAAACTTTGTTAAGAACTCTGAGTCTTAGTGAATAAACTAGCATAGAGTATCTGGAGAGAGGCTTTAATGGGAATATAGGAAAAGAAAGTTTGGAAGGAAGCAAGGTTAAGCATGGTAAGGTTGCAGGGACGAATACAGAAGAAATTCTCATTAGTCATCTATTGGACAATGAGTGAGGCATATTTTATGAGCTCTTTCCATACACTACAGAGGGATAATCCCAAACCTTGATGTTCTTTTTCTCTGTAGGCAAGGACTTGGTGGCAGCCAAGAATCTTCTGAACAGACATGAAGTCATCTTGGCAGACATTGCCAGCCATGAGCCACGCATCCAAGTGATAACAGAAAGGGGGAACAAAATGGTAGAGGAAGGTATGCATGATTTGGATTGAGTTGGCTAAAACCTCACTATGGTGAGGGAAGAAGTTTGAATAATATAAGACTTTAAAGGGTGTTTTACCAATAGCTGGGATTCATTTTCCAACTCGGTGAAGGAATGTCCTTTGGCTACTTCTCATAGATCAGTATGCAAATCCCATATCTTGACTAAGTCCTCTCTATTTATTATAAATATTTATTATAAATTATTGCAATGAAATGACTTTAACCACATTATCAATGTTCTTCTCTGTAGAAGTTATAGAATTCAAAATCTAAATACCATAGCCTTGTGACAGTCCTTTTCCCATATTGGACCTTCCAGATCTGTGAAGACTTGGCTTCCCAGGGTCTTCTTATATTAACATGGTAAAAAATAGTGTCATTTATTTAATTTCTCACTTTATGTAGCTTCAGTGATTCTTAGCATCCTGAGTCTCCCATACTTAGAAGATTCCTTTTTTATTCTTTTTGAGTCAGTGTCTCCCTGTAGACCCAGCTGTCCTGGAACTTGCTTTGTAGACCAGATTGACTTTGATTCCACAGAAATCTGCCTGCCTCTGCCTCCCAAGTGTTGAGATTAAAGCCCTGTGCTACCATGTCTGACCCTAGAAACTTCTATTATTTATTTATTTATTTATTTATTTATTTATTTATTTATTTATTTTTGTCTTTTTGAAATAAGGTCTCCCTGTAGCCCCAGCTGGCCTGGCACTTACTAGGTAGACCAGGCTAGCCTTGATCTCAGAGAGATCAGCCTGCCCCTGCCTCCCTAGTGCTGGTACTAAAGGTGTGTACCACCACACCCCAGCCTGAAACTTCTTTTTAAACAAGACATTCAGATCTGGGTGTCATACACCAGATGTGAAGTAAGCAATTCAGGGTCACATTGACATTTTTCTCTCTATTGACTGAAGAATCTATTTCTGCCCATTAGTATCCAGTTTTCAAAGGTGTAGGGTAAAATACACTTGCTGAGAAAATGTTCAGATCTCGACTGATTTATTCAAACCAATGAAATTCTTCCCCATTTGGAGTTAGCAGTTGAAGTCCTGTGTTGCCATAGAAAGCTGTGGCTTGTTTCTCGAAATCTCTGACTGTAGGTGTGATTTTTTTCTTTTTTCTTATACTCTTACCAATTTTTGTTTTATGCATTATGAAAATGTGTTATATGCATATACTTGAGGTTGTCTTTCTTATGAATTTCATCTTTCCATTATGAAATAATCATCTTTATTCCTGGTAATACTCCTAGTAACATTTCTTATGAAACCTATCTAATGTTTCTTTTTTTTCTTCT